TTTTTTGTCTTCTCTCACCCACATCTCACACCCACACCCTCAAGATCACCAGTAAATAAAATATACTAGCCATTCAAATTGTATTATAACCGGCGAATGTATGCGGCATTTGCGTTTTTATACCTTTCTCTTATCAAAAGTAACTCATAAAAGTATTATAACTGCTATTGTCTTCTTGCATTTTTTTAATGAGTTGTAAACTCAGTACTGGTTTATATCGAGAACACTTGAGGCTAGTTGTATGAAATTTGTGGGAGAAAAACGATTGATACCGGCTCTGTAAAAGAGAGATCTTAAAATGAGGTATAGTGCTTTGTATCACTGAGATTGCATGATTTAACGATTTACCTAAATAGTTCGAACATAGAACAACGGGTGTGGATGTGCTTGAGGTTTTGTATATTCTTCTCATTCATTACCCACATACCCTCGCACACCCGCCTCATCACCGCCCACACATTCGGACACTCTCTCACACCCACATCCCATACTCACCCATCCACCCACCCTCATGAAACAAAAATAGACCCATCTGTCTTTCAATGATAAAACGTTTTTATTATTAAGATTCGGCTTTTTTCTCCAACTTTTCTAGTCTCTGTATTGTTTCCTGCATTTTTTTAAACATTTCAGTCAATTTCTTGAGTTCTGCTGTATTTGTATCTACTGCTCGTCTCGCTTGTTTTTCAGCTTCTTTAGAAAAGTCTGCTGACCGTTCACTCTGTCGACGTGCTTCGTGTGCATCTGAGAGTATTTTCTTTGATTCTGTTTTTTGAATTTGAAGTTCCTCTTTCGTTATTTTCGTTAGATCTCGAGCACTTGACATCGCATCTTGAGCAGCTTTTGATGATTCTTTAGCATTTGTAGCCAGCTCGGTAGTAACTCGTTTATTGTCATCGAGTTCTTTTTCAAATCGGGTACGAATTCCTAAGACGTTTTGTTCAAACGAATTCTTCAGCTCTGTATTTGTTGTTTGGACTTTTTGTTCGCACTGATTAATAAATAATTGCAATTCTTGACGGCGTTGTTCTATTGATTGTACTAATTGCTGAGAATGTTTGGTATTTTCTTCGCTTGATTTTGCAGATTTTTCACTAGCCCGAGCAGCTTGCGTCGCTTGGATAAGTGCGGAATCAGAATGATCTTTGGCTGCCTTTGAAATAGCTAATATTTCTTCCGTTTTATTTCGCATTTCAGTTTCAATGATATTCATGCGTTGATTAATGACTTCCTCCAAATTCATTTTCATTTCTTTCAATTGGTGAGATAGTTTGTTTATTGCTTGATTGTATCGCTCTTCATTATCATGTTCCATAGTTTTTCGGTTTTTTGTAGATTCTTGTTGAATCTGTTCGTGTGCAGCATTAATAGATGTTTGATAGAATTCAACTTTCTTCTGAATATCTTCTTTTAAAGTGTCAACAGTGAAACCAATTACTTTTCGAACTTTGTTTAGTTCAGCTTTTACATCTGACACATTGGCAAACATCTTCTGTTCACGTAACACTTGTGCAACTTGATTGATTGTGTCTTTGCTAACGCATGATTGATTTGCTCGTTCCATTTCTTCAAAATTGAATAGTTTTGCAAGCTGTTTCATTTCGTCCAGTTTTGTAATAATATCATTTTGATCATTTCTCATGGCTAGCTGCATTCCTCTTCCAGTAACAATAGATTGTAATATATTCTCATCAGAGGAGAACACTGATGCATAAACATAACCGAAAATGTCTAGATCATCAAAATTCTGTTCGGTTGATCGTTCGAGGGAGACTGAGTATTGGTAGATTTCTCCTGTAAGACCTACGACTGATACGCAACCAATCAGGTAACGCAATTGCACATATACTGGACTTTCTTCATTATTCATATTCGTCTTTTTCTTTTTTAAAGGAATTCGTTGTTGTCCAGCTTTTACACTGACGATTTCAAATGCTTCATTTGATGACCCTTGTTCAATAATATTCTTTTTGGCAACTAAATACCACAATTGTTGTGGCAGTGGTTTGTCTAATTTGATCTCTTTCCTGTCAACTTTGAGCGCATGAATAATCCATGCTGTTACATAATCAGCAACAACAATGACAGGAATCTCCTCTGCTGTTTCATTTGGAATATTTATGAAAACATCTTTTATCCATTGAAATTGATCATTATAGGGACTAGTTCCTGTAATTTTGCAACTCGTATCAATAGATTGTATTTGTTCTTTATAGTATAATGTCATGAATCCAGCCGTATCCGATGCGAGTCGTTTAATTTCTCCAATAGTTCCTATAGTGGAAATATTATACCATTCTTCTTTTTGCTCTTTTTGATTTAATTTCGATAATATGTCAGCAAGTGTTTCTTTCACTGCATTCACAATCACGTCACCTAGATGTACAAAGAAACATGAAATGTCTTTTGATTACAAAATCTATTTTAAGCGTAACGAAATGTAATTGTCTTGTGAATAACAATCGTCCTTTTGCACCTAACATTTAATTTATCCTTAGACTGACTCGTCTGAAATTAATTATAGAGAATACAATATTGTTTAAGGAACATGGGTGTAGGTGTGTCTGTACATGTGCATGAATAGCCAGCACTCGCCCTTGCCCTTACCTTCATCCACACTCGCCCTTAAGATTAGAAAAAGTTTTAAACACATGTGATTTGATTCGATATATGTTTGCAAGACTTCGATTTCGAACGGCTTTCAATTTTAAAAATGTCTTAACTTTGCCCACCTCTAATCTCGAGTATCATTTCGAAAGAAATATTCAACCATATGTTATTAGTAGATTTCAAAGAATAACCTGTACAGTTAGAAGAAATCAGATATAAGCGTGTAGTGGCAAGTGAAGATTGCTCAACACATTCCATTTCTATTCCTTTAGAAAAAAATAAAATAGTATCTACTCACAAAATGTCAGAAGTGCTGATGATGACACCACCTTAGAAGACTCCGTCGTTGTAGAATTTTTTGTTTGTATTGTTGCTTTTAGTCCACCCGATTGTGCAGCAAAAACACTATGGAACAAGGATTCTAAACGATTTTCGATTGTACAATAGAATAGATATAAATTAGTATCGTTCTGAATAAATTGAAGATTTTTCTGTCGATTTAAAATCGATTCTTCTTCACGTTGATATAGAGTAATTGAACATTCATATGCAACCAATTGTTGTTCATATGATTCTTTCTCTTCAAATAATGCTTTTCGTTGTAATGCAGATAAATCTTTTTGTTTAGAAAGTTGTTCATCATGCTCTTGTATGCGAAGTATCGTCTCTTTTCTTGTTTCTACTAAAACTTGAAGTTCGTTTTTAATTTTATTTAACTTTTCACCCATATTGGCTGAGTCTTGTTGATAAACATCCTTTGCATCTTGTCCATTTTTTACTTTTTTTAATTGTTTCAATCGTTTCATTAGTTTTGAGCCAAGACCAGAAAAGAGTTGTTGATAGGTATTTGGATCGCTGGGGTCAAGTAAAACGGGACATTCAGTAACGACATTACCTAGTCCGGTCAAAAATCCTAAAAGAATTTTTTTGTTTGGTTTATTTAATGTGACTGCTTCGCCGATAGAAATATCCGACGGAATATCTGGTTTAAGATATTCATCGAAATATGGTTTTAGAATATCCACAATTTGAAACTGTTTGTGTTTTTCAGCCACTTTCAAAAGTTGATAACATAGTTGTCGCTTTTCATCTCTTGAATCATAACGATCTTCACGAAATTCTCGAATGATAGCTACTTGACCTTTTTGAGCAGCTTCTTGAAGCCGATCAGATGTATACTTGGGACCTTGTGGTTGCTTGTTGTCGTCAGGTGAAAATACCGGTTTACCAGTTTCGATAAGCTGTTTGATTCGTTGATAATCGAGTTTTTTCGCTATTTGTAAGGCTGTAGAACCACTTTGATTAGTTTGTTTTCTTGTAGCAGGATATCTGAGTATAAATAACTCGACAACAGGATAGTCACCTAAAAATGAAAAAAAGAAATGATTTTTCTTCGATTAGATGAATATATGTCATTTTATCTATTCGCTATCATAAATATTCTTAAAAATTTTAATTATATGATTATTACAAGTGCCTCGAAGAGAGTTGCGTATCAATAATCATTTGTTCAAAAAATTAAAATATTATTAAAATAAATTAAATACCTTTTTGTGTTGCTAACATAATTGGATAATCACCATTGACATCAGCTGACATAGGTATACTTCTACGATCACATAACCATGTTACAAGATCGACACCATGATACTGTACAGCATAATGCAATGCTGTTCGTTTTTGTTCGTCTTGATAATTAAAATCTACACCAAGTTCTTCAAACTTTTGAGCACTTTTTCGATCATCGTTTATAATTGATACAATAAATTGATTGTTTAATTCTCTAGTCAAATAGTTCACAATTGTGTCATATTGTCTACTTTTAGCGATATCAATCAACGACATTGGTTCATTATCATTGCAGTGCAATATCGAAGCACCACATGAAACTAATGCGTGAACAATGGAAAAATAATTTCCATGTTGAATAGCACATAACACAGCTGTTGATCCATAACAATTCATTGAATTAATGTTTGCTCCTAGACGTTGACATCGAATAACATCAGCTAGGTTACCATCAGCTGCTGCAAAGAGGAGTCGACGATTGATCAAACATCGATTTATGCAAACAATACTATCAGGTGACATTGTTTGAGCAATATCAACCGGTAGAATGATATTTGGATTTTCTAACCATTCTTTTGGCATTTTTGCACCATGATCACAAAGAAATTCAATTAATTTGATATTTTCATGTTTCAAAGCGATTTGTAGATTATTTGTATCAGTCATATCTACACTAGCTCCACTAAGAACAAGTTGCTTTACATCCAATAGATTATTTTCTTTTATTGATTTTGTACATTCAATAGAGATTATATATTTGAGATATGATGCTACACGATTAAATTTATTTCTCTTTGCTGTTTTATATGGAGATTCTGATCGATTATACTTATAAACTGATTGGAAAATCTCTTTACTTTGCTGAATGAGATAATGAACAATTTCAACATTGTCAGATGATGAACATGCACAATAAAGTAACTCATTGGTAAGCGGAGCTCCAGCTATATGATATGCTACTACGTGACCAATATTAGATTGTTCAATTGCTTTGATCATTTTTGTAAGAGCAATCTGCGAAATAGTATTGGCAATCTGTTGACACCATTGCATTTTTTCTTGAAGCTTTTGACGATCATTAAGTGTGATATGCGATGATTGTAGTTTGGTGTAACAATCGCGTGCTGTTTGTAAAGCGATTTCATACGGTGTAAAACCGTTTTTTCGATAACAAATATCGGCATCTTGACCAATGGCTTGATTTGCTTCAAATGCCAAGCCTTTTCTAACAGCGTCATGCAGATTATCGTTTGGTGTACCAGCGAGAAGACCTAAACTTTTTATACCTCTTTTTAGTGGATCAGTATCTCCAATTTGAATTGGTTTAATAGGAATAGTCATTACTAATTCACACGTGTCTTGATCAATATTCGGTTTTTTTGATGCTATTTCTGATTTATTCTTTGAATTTTCTATCGAAGGACAAATAAGTTGTTCAAGGAAGTTCAACAGTTTCTTGGCATTAAGGTCATCCAGTTTATTGTTCGATACATCCATCTTTGCAATATCGAGTGCAGTTCTTTTCTTAAAATCATGCGCTTTTGGATCAGCACCCCATCGAATCAGAAAACGAACAATCAGTAGATGACGATTCTTCGTAGCTAGGTGAAGTGGTGTCTCATTATCTTTATTTGTCACATTCAAGTTTGATTTAGGTAGTTTCCATAGATACTGAAGAGTCGACAAATTGCCGTGTTCAGCAGTAATAGCAATGGGATAGTTACCACTTCCATTTGGTAGCAAATAATTGGCTTTCATTTGTTCGATGAGAAATTGAACAAAAGCTTGATTTGTTTTTTGGCAAGCCAAATGTAAAATAGTCCATTCTTGATAATTCTTATCGGTATGTTTATAATTGATTTGAGCACCATAATTAATGAGTTGTTTTATCTCGATCATGACATTTTCATTTAGCATATTTTTAATATCGTTTTCAATTACGCAAATCCATAAGCGTTCATTCAACGTCTGCTGAATCAAGTCGACTGCATCTGTACGCTTATGTTCAGCTGCAAACTGTAGTAAGGTTTGATTCAATTTTGAATTAAAAAACATTGATGTTGTTACTTTCGATAGTTTGAGAAAGATTTTAAGTAGTTCAAATGGTTTTTTGTCAATGAGAATACATGTTTCAATAGCTCGATATCCTTTAGTATTCATAAGAGTAATATCAGCATCGAATTCATTTATAAAAGCAGTTATCATTTCTGGTGAACCTTTGTCGACGATCAATAAGTGTAACAAAGAGCCATGATTGGTGATTGAAGCATTGATATTCGCACCTTTGCTTAATAGGGTACTGACCTCGGTGACGGTAAGTTGTGATTTCTTGGTTTCAATGAGCTTTCGTAATTCCATGTTGACACTTTGTGCTTGTAGCGCAGCGATGAGTAATTGATTTCTTGGTGTAGTTTTTTCTGCTATATCTAGTGCTGTAAGTCTCTCAGCGTTCTTATGAAATATGTTGCAACCACAAGAAACTAACGTACGAACTAATTCCAAATTGTTGGTAAGCACAGCGTTTAAAAGCACTGTATTACCCTTCTCATCTGTCATTTCTGTATTTGCACCACGACAAATCCAATTAGTCACTTCCTTAATATTAATTGGTGATCGAGAGAAAGGAATTTTATTAAGATTTTTATCGAACTCGAGCTGTAAATAATCAATCACTTCTTTGCTACATTTTCGATTGCTTCTTGCAATTGTCAGACATGTTTCTTTAGCATCGTTTTCAGCAGTTAAACCAGCATATGTATATGGATCACTTGCGATCAATATTTGTATAACATCAAGTTGAATTGATATTCGTTCTTCCTTGAGAAGATCACCTAATAAACCAAGAGCTCCGAATGTATCTGATTGGTAAGTATTCGCTTGTAATTCGATGAATCGGCGTATTTCATTGATATCATTGCTATTCGATGAAAGAACTCGTGCAGCAAGTAAACGAGAAGCTTGTCTCTGTAAGACTTCGATTAAACGCACGCAGTTGTCAGCTTTCCAAAGTAGTACTGGACGAAGTCGTCGTTCTTCATTTATCACAGCATGAATCATTGGTCCATCTTTTGTCTGAACTGTAATATCTGCTCCAGCATCGATGAGCTGCTGTGCCACGAGAAACGAATTCTGCTCTCCCGCTCGTCGCTCAACAAGCTTTCTTAAATCTTTTGTTAATTTGTTCATTTAGTCTTTTTAAGGATCAAGAAAGAATTCGCCACTGTTTAAGAGAATTCTACAATTGAAAGGGAAGTACAGAAGTTAAAACATCATATAGTGAATTTTTCATCTTAGGTTCTTGATAAATTTGTAAGAGTGTATAGGTTTGGATGGGTGTCAATGAGGAAAAAGATATATTACAATACTTCATCTATACTCTACTCATGCTTTACTCTATCCAACTTATACTCCACCGTACTCCGAAAATTTATTCGTATATTCGAGCATCGCTTTTTCCCCCTTGGTAGGTGCGAGGGTTTGGGCACAGTAAACATGCGCGGTAAGTTAGGTAAATGAAATTTTTTTATGAGATCTTAGACTATGTAGGTGTGGGCGGATGCGAATGGGTGTAGATGTAGATGTGGATACGAGTGTCTATTTTTTCTATCGTAGAGTCACATCTACTTGCATCCATCCACACCCTCAAGATGGGTTGCCGAAAAACTCAAGGGAAAGCAGGGTCGAATTTACTATTTGCATGATAACGCAAGATCTCATGTTGCAAAGTAGATCTGCGAAAAATTGTTGAAGCTCGGATGGACTATCATGCCTCATCTACCTTATTCTTCTAACTTGACTCTAACGGATTACCATTTGTTTCGTTCTCTTTCTCATCATTTACGTGAGAAAAAGTTTGACGAAGAGAACGACGAGAAAATAGATTTCGCTAACTTCTTTGGTTAAAAGTCCCCGACCTTTTACGAACGCGGGATCCTATCTCTGCCATAGCGTTGGTGTCAAGTCACAAATAGTAGTAGTGTATATAGAACTGAAAGCAAGTTGTACTGTTGAATTTAAAGAATAAAAATAAATTTTTTGAAAAAAATATAAAAACTTTGTTGCCACCCTGATATAAGGCTTCTTTCCAAGTTGATTTGAAATATTCTTTTACATTTTCATTCTTTTCTTTTGAAAAGACTGCCCAGTTTATAATAACAACAACTTACCTTTATTGAAGCGTACGTGTACACTATCAGTCTCTCAGATAAAGAATTTCATTTTGTAATGTTTATAGCATGAGAGAACTCTTTTACAAGCAGAAAAGAAAAGATTTTACGATGAGAAGGCAAACGTTATCGTTATATGATGTCGAATCTTATGGTAATGTTAAAATTTTGTATTTTTGGGTTAGACGTCGTTGCTCGAATGACTTTTCGCCGAAGATTTTTTATCGAAAGATCTTTCGTCGAAAGTTAGTAGAGTAGTAACACTTACTATCTGTTTTTCCATAGCCTATATAGACACTATTCTCGTATTACATGTCCAGTTATCGACTTATTAAATAATAGTATAGTTGCATTGCAAGTATACTTCCAATACAACTGCACTCGCCTTACGAGTATAAGAATGAACTGGGTGTGGGTGGATAACGAGAAAAGATCACCACACCCATACCCTATCTTATTAAGATTTCTAAAAAGAATATTGTTATTTCAGATCTTTTAATAATATGACTACTCGTTTACTACCGAATAAAAAGTCTCATCCAAATTATCACGTAGAATCTCTTGAATTATTTCATCTGATCTGGTTTGATGATGGTAACTCAGACAATAATAAAAATGTGGAAGATATATTACGTAGTACTATCACCCAATTCACTAGGTTTCATGATATGATATTAGGTCGACAATATATTGAAAACATATCAGCAGATTATAGACTAGTACTCCTGATTAGTAACCATCTAAGTAACGAAATAATACCGGTGATTCACAAGCTTCAACAAGTTCCATTGATCTACATTTACAGTGTAAATGGCAAAGTCAATGAACAGTGGGTTAAGCAATTTAGCAAAGTAAATTAATGAACATATGTATTCGCGCAGTTAAGTTCTCATTTTAGGTCAAGATAATGGTTACTACACTTCAGTACTTCGTTTCTACAATTCGTCTCAACTTTAGAATTCATAAACAAGAAGAAAAATCATCATCATCGAACAATATGTTTACTGCAAGTGCAGGTAACTCAACTCTAGAAGTAGGAGGCGAGTTTGTTTTTCTTCAAACCCTCATCGATTGTCTTCTACGAATGAAGCCCAATAAACAAGATATAAATGAGTTAATATGTGACTTAGAAAAAAAGTACGAAAATAATACCACGATGCTCAACTGTCTTCACAATTTTCATGATACTTATTCGCGTGATAAAACAATTTATTGGTACAGTAAAGAGTCATTTTTCTATGAGACTATAAATACTGCATTACGCCAACAAGATATCCATACGATGTTTCTTTGGCGTTCATTTCTTTTCGATATGTACCATCAATTACGTGAACTCCAATCGGAGCAAAATATAAAAGTCTATCGAGGTCAAAATATTTCCAAGAGAGAGTTAGAAACCCTAAAAAAAAGAATTGGTAAACTTATTTCTGTAAACTCGTTTTTGTCAACAAGTAATGATCGTACAATGGCTGCTTTTTTTGCTGATTCTGGAGCAAAATCTGATGATTTGGTACCTGTGCTATTTGAAATTGAGGCTGATCCTCTCATGGTAGATACGAAACCATTTGCTGACATTAGTAAGTATAGTAACTATCCAGGTGAACAGGAAATATTATTTATGTTTGGTTCCATTTTTCGTGTGGTCAAAATACATCAGGAGATCGAACCTGTATGGATCATAGAAATGAAATTATGCGATGATGATGACGAAGATGTGCAAGAAGTACTTGAATATATGCAAAAGCAGAATGGAAAAGGTGAAACAAATCTGCAAACCTTGGCTAAATTAATGTGGCAGATGGGACATCACGATCTAGCTAAGAAATACTATGTTTATTTTCTTAAGGACCTTCAGTCCGATGATGCACTACAGCTAAGCGTTTATGAAGATATTGCTGCAATTGAAAGTCAAAAAGGTGATTATAATGGTAGCATGAAATGGAAACAAAAGGCACTTGAGTTTGAACGATTAAATACAGCATTGCATAGTAACAACTCAAGTAAGTAAACTGTAATGACAAAACAGAAATGTATTTTCGCTGCTGCTCTTATTATGACATTTCTAGATTACTTTATAAACGACATAGATTCATATACGACAGAGAAAGAGAGATAAACATATAGAACAATAGAAAGAAAATAAAAATAAATGGATAAGTACATTTGTCACGTAAAGATATAAACGATGCAGAAGAGATGTCCATCACGGCGCGAGAGCGACTGAACTATTTAAAAAATTTCATTTTTTTTTAAAAAGCTGTTAGCGCAATCCCTGGCGGGATTAAAATGTGAAACACGAGCTAACTGTTGTTTCTACTTTCAAGAAGATAGTTTAATTGTATCTTTATGAAGCGCATTTTGCCTCATTGTGTGGCATAAAGGTATAGAAATATCAGAAAAAAATAATTTACATATACTGTACTCGCTTTATTAGCGTTTTAACAGTTATGTGAGTGTCAATATCGTAATATTTTCTTGTTTATGCCTACACCCACACCCTATATAAAGGCCTATGATACCTTGTCGGTCACGTCTGTGACCAGGCCAAAAGAACACGTGTCGGTCACGTCTATGACGAGGTCAAAAGAACATATGTCGGTCACGTCTGTGGCCAGGTCAAAAGAACACGTGTCGGTCACGTCTATGACGAGGTCAAAAGGACATATATCGGTCATGCTTGTTATGCCTTGTTGGTCACGTCTGTGATGGTCTATGATATCATATCGATCGCCGCCTTTGATGTTCGGTCGGTCACGTCTGTGATGTTCTGTCGGTTACGTCTGTGATTTTTTGTCGGTCACGTCAGTGGGGGGGGGGGGGGGGGGGGGGGGGGGGGGGGG